AGGTGGGAAGTAATTATGTAGATTTACTCAAGTACTGTACTTAACCCTTTGGAGTCCTGGGCTAATTTGGCCGTTTTCACATACTTTTGATTTGTCTTACTAAACCCCATTAAGAAATGTTTGGCATGTCAATGTTTGGTATCTTGTTTTTAAGGACAACCTCACCTATATAACCTGATAGTTATTTCTTTCTTTTTGAGATACTATATGAACATTTTGGACCCAAAAAAACGTAAAAACAGATTTTGAAAATGATATAATTTTTCATATAGGTAACACAAACATACACAACGAAACCATTTGAAAGCTGGAAATATATACATGGGATGTCACTATGATAATGTGAAAGTTTGATTGAAGCAGCATGAACCTATATACAAATTTTATGAACAAATAACAGGTGTATCCATAGGCTTTTTTCCTAATTTCTCAAGTTCTGTCAACAGTGACACAGTAGGCACAACAAAACATTTAAAAGCTTAAATAATGTACATGGGATTTCATTCTGATAAGGCAAAACTGTTATTATAAATATAATACAAATATATATATTTAAAAAAAAAAAATATATATATATATATAGGCTATACACATTATGTACAAAAATCTGTCTTTATCTGTGCCACGCTTCAAAGCAGTTTCTGTCAACTACGACACAGAGGGCAACATCACAGGCTCCTCCTCCTCCATGTCAAATAACAAGCTTATAGCTTGACTCACGTTCAGAGTTCTCTTCATCATAGTTTAATCCTCAACACTCTAAATCTATCTAACTATATCTAAATTCTCAATGTTTGTTTGTCACTTTACTTCAATCGCAGTCTCCCGCCGTCTCTCTTTTTCTCCCGCCGCCTGTCTTCGTATATCTTCGTCTCTCTTCGGTTCCCGCCGTCCCTCTTCGTCTCTTTTTGTCTCGCTTCGTATCACTCCGTTTACCTGATTACCTCACCCCCTCCCTGGTAAATACACCCTATTGAGCAGAATCTACAGTTTCCAGTATTTCCAGTATTTTCCTTTTCGTAAAATGATAAAATACGGCGAAGATATTAAAATATGTGCTTCCATTATTCATACTTTTGAAATATATTTGTATTAACTTTATATCATCGTATCTCCGTGATTATTGGGTCTTTTTGCATGAAACAAAGACTGGCATATAGTTTCAAGCCAGTACTTTCGACAGAAATACACATATACATCCTGTTGAGCAGGGTCTACAGTTTCCAGTATTTTCCCTTTCGTAAAATGATCATTTACGGCGAAGATATTCAAATATGTGCTTCCATTTTTCATACTTTTGAAATGTATTAACTATATATCATCGTATCTCCGTGTTTACTGGGTCTTTTTGCATGAAACAAAGACTGGGATATAGTTTCAAGCCAGTACTTTCGACAGAAGCACACGGCAATGTTGTCCGGACTGTTGTTTTTATGCGGCACCGGCTTGAACAGGTCATGTGATCTGATCACGCCGGCGTGACGGTCGACTCCAAAGGGTTAAGTTCAATTTTGAGGTACTTTAGTATTTCAAGTTGCTGCTACTTTGTACTTCTACTCCACTTCAATTCAGAGGTATATCGTGCACTTTTACTCCACTGCATTTTTACTCAGATTTTGATTTATGATGTGAAATATAATCTACAATAAAATAAGACTTTAGTTGGAGTTAACACAATTAATCTACCGTGCAGTATACAAAGGAATTCAGACTAGCTCCACCTTTACCTTTGATAACATGCATCATTAATAGTCAGCTCAAATTCAACCACCACATAAATCACATCACTAGGACCGTCTTTTTCCACCTCAAAAACATTGCCCGTCTCCGCCCATCACTCTCCTCCTCTGCTGCTGAAACCCTGATTCATGCATTCATCACTTCACGACTCGACTACTGCAATAGCATCCTCTATGACATACCATCCAACCTCCTCAATAAAATCCAACATATCCAGAACTCTGCTGCCCGCCTCCTCACCCACACCCGCTCCCGAGACCACATCACTCCCGTCCTCCAGAACCTCCACTGGCTCCCCGTCCGTCAAAGAATCCACTTCAAAGTCCTCCTCATTACTCACAAAGCCCTCAACAACCAGGCCCCCCCCTACCTCACAGACCTGCTGCACCACCACACCCCTTCCCGCTGCCTCCGCTCATCAGAAGCCAACCTCCTATCCATCCCCACCCGCACCAATCACCGGACCTGGAGGGACAGAGCCTTCTCCGTCGCTGCCCCCTCCCTCTGGAACTCACTCCCACAACCCATCAGAGACTGCACCGACCTCACCACCTTCAAAAAACTCAAAAAACCTCTTCAATCTGGCTTTTAATGTGTGATTGTTTTTATATTATTTGACTTTAACTTTATATTTATTATTATTATTATTTATTATTATTAATAATAATAAAAACAAAACATTGAATATATAATATTCTGAAATGGACCAATCTGCATAATAAGTACTTTAAGTATGTGTTGATGCTAACACTTTTGTACTTTTACTTGAGTAACATTTTTTGAACTTTTGTTTTGCTTCTTTGGAACTTCTACTTTTACTCAATTAGAATATCTGAGTGCTTTCCCACCTCTGACAACACATGATGATAGACTGTTGACTTTCTTCTCTTTAGTGTAGCTATAAGAACACTACAGGGAATTCTCGGTAAATGCAAGTTATTCTCTTGGTTTAAAAAGAATGGCGAGTTAAGGCTGTGTACATTCTGGGTGATTTTAATTTTGTAAAGTTCAACAAAATATAATACTCTGCTACTTCAGATATAGAACTCTAAAACTCTAATACTGATATCAGCATTGAGATGGGCATAGTTTATATTTTAAAATACATGTCATTACCTAACATAATTGTATTTTGATGGGTAAGAAATAGGTGATTTATTTTTTAAGAGCTTGCATTTGAGCAAATTATTATATATTTTTTATTTAATCTGGTATTCAATTTGGAGTTGTGGGCTAGCTTTAGTTTTTATAATGTAATGGTTGGTTTTTACTTTATCTTTTTTTATCATGTGTTTATTTTAATTTTATTGGTGATTACTTTATTTATGTTTTACTTTTTCTGGTGAAACTTCCAGTACTGACAGTATATTCTTGACATCCGCTGCTTCTTTTTTTACAAGTTTTATATCCCTGAATCAGCAAATCTCTCTGTGTTACAGAAATGACTCTGTTTGTATAAAAACAGAACTTTATTTTTCGCATTTATTCAAAGAAACAACATTTTAAAAAACGGAACTCCCCGAGAGCTCCCGTGCTAATATTTCTAATAACAAAAATAAACAAAAATGGAACAGTTGAAGGGCATTTCCATAAGACATGACTGACAAACACATTTAGTCCCGTCTTCATCTCTTCTTCAGGTTTAGGACTTCACTGCTGTATCTCTGGATTTGTAGATCACTCCTCTGCTTTTCAACTCTCTCACAACGCCTTCAGAAAAGAGACAAAAGTTAGTTACATAAACAGGGAATGAGTATAGTATATGTAATACTTAACAAGTTGGAGATTCTGAACAAAAAAAGCCAAACCTATTCTTTCTAGGTGTGTGAAATTGGCTACATATTGAAGTATTACAGTTAGATAAAGTGTACCTGGAGGAAGTCTGCCAGTCACTGACACTGCATATACACCTGGCTTGAAGTTACCTGTAAGATGAAGAAAAAACAAATACATTTTATTACTAGATCATATAACAATAAAATGACTTGAGCAAATATAAAAAAAAAGGACATGTTCTTAGAAATTGAAATGGTTTAATATGGGCCTACATCTTTACCTATTCTCTGCCATTTAGCGACCCAGCTGTCCTCAGGACTCATCATGGATATCACACTGTGGACAGACAGTTTTGGTTAGAATTAAGAAAATTGTTCAAACCATTGAACATTTTTTAATTAATAAATTCTCAAATCAGTGTTTACCCATCGAATGAGGAACTTGTGCATTCATAAACCATCTCTCGGTTCCCCTTCATCTGGAGGTACGACTCACAGTTGTCACAGCCGTCGTATTCAAACTGGTCAATGGTCTAAAGAAGACAGAGCATTTTATGAATGATCGATAATCGTTTAGTAAATAAAACGTCAAATAAAAAAGGCCATCACAACTGTACAAAAACAAACGTGACGTCCTCATTTTATTTTGACTAAATAGCCGAAACATTTTAGTTTCACAATGATATATGACAAAAGCAGAACATCCTATAGTTTCAGAGGCTGAATGTTGTAATTGTTTAACTATTAGCCTAAATATATCATACTTAAATAACTGTAACGATTAATCAATTTTCAAACAATTATGTTTCTGTTGATCGAATAATCTGTTAACCATATTAGCTTTGTTCAATACCGTAACTGGCATGAAATGTTGTACCCAGTCTACTTTTATCAAGTCCTGTTCAACTGTATTTTAGTTTGTATACTGTAATTAACATTACATGTTTGAGTTTAGCCAAACAAACATTGTTTGTTAGAGATAGACTAAATACTGTACTTTCAACAAGTATATAAGAAGTTTAACCAGTCAGTTTGGGTGTTATTCGGCAAAAAAAAAAGCAGTATACACACATAGCAGAAGAATAAATGCGGCACAGATAGCGGCTAACACGTTAGCAAGAAGCTATCTTGAACGTATCTTTACACAGTTTAAAGTTTACCTTCACTAAAGAACAAAGAAGACAGGCTCGCAAATGGCGAAGGTCTTTCGGGACCGTTTCCAGTGCCATTACGTTAAGCTACTGGACAATTGAATACCGAAAAATCAAACAGATGATTGTTTTGAATGTTTCCCAGTCGCCCGGGGATTACGTCACTGACTGCGAGGCCCTAAAAGACCAGCGCATAGAGGTCCCTATGTGCGCCTGTACAAAATTATTTATAATCTCCATCAGATTCAAGGTTACATTTCTATATCATCATGCACAAAAAAATGCAGTTATTACACATCTTGTTTGACAGGCTCCCTTCAACAATGCTATGTAATATATATATATATATATATATATATATATATATAGTATATATATATATATTTATATTTAAAAGCCAAAAAAATGTATTGCAGATAGAAGATAAATTCGAATTTAAGACATAAAAGGTGTTTTGGGTTAGTTCAAATATTGGTAAAAAACATAAACGATAATAAAACAAGGTTATATAAATAGTGGTGAATAAATAAACTGAATGCAAACAGAAACGTAGTAGGTTAATGTATATGCATGTGATAAACGTTATATAATTTCAGTTACAACGATTAATTATGTTTGAGGTGTTTTGTACATTTTATTATAAATCTTTGAACATATGTGAACCCAATGCAATAATATAGTAAACTTTAATTAAAAATAATGTTTCCCTTTCTGACCAGAACATATTATAGGACAAGATGTTGATTGTTATTTATTTCTTTATGCGTCCATGTATTTCAACCAATTTCAACCATCACTTAGTTTTTTTTAAATTAATTTAGGGTTTTTCCCATTTTTTGTTTTTGACAATATGCAACTAACTTTTGAATTAACTTTTACTTTACAAAAATAACTAATTATGCTGATTGACCCATTTAAGAATAATATATAAATTGTATTCTTTTATTATAATTATTAATGCATTAGTGTTATCAAAGCTCGTAAAGATGCAGCTAGTTTGAATTACTTTGTATGTTGCAAGGTTGCTTGTGAATTGACTCAATGTGTAACAAAAGTCTTATTATAGTGTGATTATATATTCCCATCATTACACAAATGTGCAAAGTAACTAAAGGTATTAATTAAATTTAGTGGAGTAAAAGTACACCGTTGACCTCTCAATTTAAGTGGAGTATAAGTACAAAACTAGCAAACGGAAATACTCAAGTAAAGACTCCCAGTATTTGAGTAAATCTACTTAGTTACCTTACATCACTGGGGATTGTTCACGGTGCACCTTTAATTAGAAGCAGTGGACTTGAATGACCCCCCATGTTTGTTTCTAATAGAAGGTGATAAACTGCCCTGTTGAAGAACATCATAGAACCCTGTCAGTTGGCCCAGAATCAGTGTCAGATGAAACGTTTAAACTCCCAACAGCTCCAACGGTTCGGGAACTCGAGACGGTTCTGAAGAAGAGTCATGTTGTGTGATCCAGGTACAGTTTACATAATTTAATATTTCTTATTGTTCTATCATGATACACAAATCAGCATATCAATATATTGAAATTATTTATGCAAACGTACATTTTTGGTAATGTGCTGCAATCATTTCTTACAGATCAGTTACTTGGCGAGCTAACGTTAACGTTCACATAAAATAAGTAACGTTACCAATAACGTTACCGCTAAAGTTAGCACTTGGAGGAACTTAACTGACGTTAAAGTTAACGATTTACAGCTTTTAAACTTTTTTAAGTTTAGCTACATCGTTGACATTCGCTTGAAGTCAATATTTTTTAAATATCAATACTCCCAAGTGTGAAATATTAGCTAGCGTTAGCTCATCACTTTCCTTCATAACTAGATTACTTAACGGGTAGTTAAAGTGGGTTATTATCTAACGTTAACATTAACGAAAAGTGTCACACCCCGTAAGTTAACGTTAATGGTATGTCAATTGTATTAGATTAGTCTATGACATGTATTTACCGGTTAATAATACGGTTATGTTGTACACGCTTACTTGGCTAGCTAAAACGAACAATAACGGAAAGCAACTGATGACGGTTTGCCTGATACACGCCCCTTTGTTTAATGTTTACGTACATACAAACATACTCAATAGCAATTGTTACTCGATCTAGGTATGCCATGCCTGAGTTCATTATTTCCGTTATTGCTGTTATTTTAGATTACACGCATTTGTATTCACCACCTGTAAGTCCACCTGTTGTCTGCCAGTAGTTAGTATGACACAGAGGGTGAGCTGGCTCAAGCATTTTCTGTTGACCCTTTGGTCTACCTTGGTCCTTTAAGTTATTGTTTGTTTATTATTTCTTTTATTTGAAACGTGTAAAAGTGATGAGCCTACCTCAGCCTCTAGAAACTGTTCATTGGGAGTTTTGTCGCTACACTCGACATTATGAGTAGCACATCTCTAAACTGGTATTCACTTTCTATTTTATTGGGAACATTATTTATTCATAAGCAGAATAGTTAAGCTTCAAAAACCCCTTTGCCTCTATTTTATTTGACATTAATTCAGTGTTTAACTTTGTGACAAATAGTAATGAAACAACAGGTTATTTTATTATAACACTGTTTTGTTTTTATGTATGCACATACACCAAGATAAATTCCTACCTTGCAATACACCTGTTTCTGATTCTTAATTATGAAACATAGTTTTTACAAACCCCCATGAAGCCAAATAATAGTTATTTTTTAATGTTTGTCCTTTTTTTAATTTGAAGTGTATTTTTGTATTATTTAATCATTACTATTTAATGTTAAACATATCAATGTCTGCTTTATTTTGTATTTGTGTCTGTTGTGATATGTACTTTTGATTTTGCCTTACAATGTTGTGTAAAAAAGGAAAACTATGTGTTCACTAACTTTTTCTCTGTTTCCAATTCTTCAGACAACATCATGGACTTTAGGGATAGTTCACTCCCTGACGGGATCAACCCAATGAACTTTCCTGCCAAACTATGGCGTTTGGTGAACAACCCGCTAAATGAAGGCATCTGCTGGGACATTCACGGCGAAGTCATCCTCATTGATCAACAACTCTTTGAGAAACAGATCCTGTCTCCCAGAGCCAACACCTCACCTGACGCCTTCAAAACAACCAACTTCTCAAGCTTTGTCCGTCAGCTCAATCTGTATGGCTTCAAGAAAGTCGATCAACCTATTAAACAGGCTGGATACATTGCAGGATATCATCAATTTATAAACCCAAACTTCAAGCGAGACAAGCCTGCATTTGTTGAAAATCTGAGGAGACTGACCGCCGAGAACAAGGCTAAGATAAAAGCTGGTGTGGACGTGAAAGCTCGTCCCCTGAGTCGATTCCTTCGGTTCAGTGGGGGAGGTGATTGCATGGATCGCGACTTGAAAAGAGGCAAGTGTTACGCATGACTTCTCATGGCTGTCCTGTGGTGGTGTGTACTGTAACATCTTACTATTTCTTAAACCTGTCATGGGCTGGAATGGGTCCGTTCTAGCTTTATTACTTCCAACCGAACCAAATGTTTACAATTGCAATTTTTACAAGTGCTTTACAGTTAAAATATGGCTGTTTAACGGCTTGCCATGCTTTGCTTCCCTCTAGATTCTGCAGGAAGTTCTTTGCTGACTAGCCATAGTCCCCGACATCAGGAGTCCCAATGTCCTTATCTTCCAAAAAAAGCTCAGGCCATGACATCGCACAATGGAACCCCAGTTCCCCCACGATTTCTGATAAGGGGTCATGGTGCGGCTCTTTCGCCGATGGTCTTTGCAGCAGACAAAGGGATACCAGTCTCCTTAGGCCACCATTACCCTGGACTCACCACAGGCTCCAGTCATATGCACCTTCAGCAGAGTTTACTCGCCCGTGCAAACTCTGCAAATCCCAATTTTCCTTTTTCTGGTTCTCATGCACAATATCAGCCGGGCTACTTGGCTGCAGGTGAGCATAGCACCAATGAACATGTTAGCAGTATGAGTGAAAGAGTTAAAAACCACACTGTTTGCATAATTTTAGTGACAGGCCTTTATTTGACATACAATGTAATACAAATGTACTGTAATTTAGTTACAAAGATTAATTGACATTTAGGGTAACCTATTATAATGGTCTGATTCCAGCCTCTTAAATATGAATATTTTGGTTGTTTTACTCCTTTATGGCAGTAAAAGGAAGACCTTTGAGTTGTAGACAAGACATTTAGTTTGGGTAACACTTCTTGACATTTTACACAATGTCTGACATTTCAGAGACCATACAATTCATCAACACTCAAAATAATTCTTAGCTGGAGCTATTATTAAAATGTACTAATCTCTGTGTTGAATGATTTGTGAGAGTGTAAACATTGAGGTTTTAACTTCAAATCCTGCATTTTATAATAAAAAAACATCTGTTTTTATTTTTTCAAGCCTACCAGTGCTGCCATCCGAGCCTTATGGCTTCCCATATGGCAGCTGGTGGACTTCAGCCAGTGCCCCTCTCTCCCCACAGATATTACCAGGTAGGGGGATTGAAGTGTGCTCCATGAGTCATGTTATCAGTGCCTCAAAATAAATCTGTTTTTGGTTTAGGAGATGGACTATGTTGGACATTTACTGTTACTAATCATTTTATTTTTCTGTTGAAGGCAAGCTATCCTGTGAACATGTTTCCATATTCGGACCCTCACCAGGATTCAAAGACCAAGGAACACCATGAGTTGAACAAATGTGACATCAACTTGGACACAATCTTCCAGATTGCCGATGAGGTGATGCAAACTCCACCCAGTAGAGCTGGCCTGGTTAGAGTTGTGACCCCAGAGATGCCGGGCCCTGTGTTAGTGGCGGTCTCCAACACAAGCATGATGAGTGACAACCTGACCAGCCCCATGAAAGCTAGCCCTTTGAGCCCTGGACCCATCACGGCTGTGTCAGCCAAGAGTGCTCCGATTCATTACAAACAAGACGAGAAGTCTGTGATTTCAGTACCTGAGAAAATGCCTGAATCTGACATATTTGAGGTAAGCCTCTACATTGTACGTCTCCTTAAGGCTTTACTTTTCTAAAATCAAAAGACTTTGCCAGGACAGATGAGGTCTGTCTATTCATCCATGATGTGTATTTTTACATTTTGATGATGTATTATAGGAACATTTGCAGCAGCTTAGCAGAGGCCATGTAAATGATGTGGTTTTCTCTCTGCCCCTCACGTAACCGTTGATGATGCAAAGGACACTGAGCTTATAGATGTCGAGGAAAGGTCGCCTCTAAAGGAAACGAGTCAGGCCAACAATGCCAACAGCAGCAAGGATACAGGAAGTACACCATATCTTTAGGTAAGCTGTTATTGAACATTAAGATAGCACTTTCAGATGAAAACGGGTAGAAGAAAAGACAGTTCACATGTGAGTAGTTGCAACATGTTTACTAACAGTTTGCCTTCTTTTCCTTTTAGATCTCAACTTGTTGATTTTATTTGAATGTGACAGAGAGTCTTGATTCATTACAGTATTTTATTATCTTAGATTTTAACAACTTCATCTCCATTTCAATGATTTTTTGTTGTGGAACGGTTTGTTGATGAGTTGAAATGTTAACCTTATTTACATTATTTTGCAAAATGTGTAATATGTCTTACGTGTGTATTTTCCTTTAGTGTGTTTACTAATTGCTAGTGATACATTTAAAAAAAAAAGTAGAAAGTAAGGTTTAACCTCTTTAAAACGCTTGTGTTTTAAATGTAACTGCCTTCTGATGTTTTCAATTAATTTAATTTAACTTTATTTATACAGAATTGCTCAAGTAAGGCAAACTCAGCCTCATCTATTTTAATGTGCACATGTTTGACTTACTGTTGTTAATATCGTAACTGCTAGTGTTTGTCATAGCAAGTTACTGCTGTAATGGTGCGAAGAGATGTAATGTTTTTTAATGAAAATATATATTTGAATCTACTATTGATTGTTTGCTTTGTGATGGTGACAAGTTGGTGTTTGCAAATCCTTCGTTTATTAATTATTTAATGCACCCCTTTTCCAGTGTTTTCAAAATGTGTAACTGGCATGTTTTTAAAGGCACGTTGCAAAAGCTTTATAAATAAAATGAAATATACTTCTGATAATTAAGCTATAGTTTTTAATGTGTACAGTATGTCATGATTTCCTGTTGACGCTGCAGCTGGTTATGTACAGTAGGTGTGTGTACACTAGAGGTAGCCACTGACTCGTGTTTGAGAGGGCCGCTCATGATTGGCTGCTCCGCCCTCAGCCTCCAATGTGGCATTTAAGTGCTACTCGGAAGCTCCTATTGCATTATTTTGTAAGGTATTTATTAATTCTGTAACGTGTAAGTGTTTGACGGTTTTAACCAAGTTTGTAACACAGGTATTTTTTCATAGCTGTTTATTATCAAAGACTATAATTTGACACCACATTCTGTGAAAATAGGAGTTAAACACAAGTGGTAACTTTGACTTAGAATTGTTTCTCATAACATCATTAATTTACATGCAATACTTGTTAACTACGTTTATCTTTCGTCAAAACAAATCCAGTGACAAAAGTCCATCCTCCCGCAAACACATCATGATTGATCATGTGTATCGTTTCTTCAAAATCTAAAATGTCTGACGGCACGTGAAGGCAGCAGCAAAGAGAGCAGGTAGAGAGTGTCAATGAGATCCCAGGGGAGCGAGAGACAGTCCGGGAGGTAGACTTTTGGGACGGTGTCATAACTGTACACGGTGTCTCTCCACTTTATCAACTTTCAATGGAGACCACTAGGAGTTTGGACCACTTTTATTCCGTACTTTTGTAGTATTTCTTCTCTGTGCTCGTTGATGATTTTGATAAACAATTCATTTTCTCGGTGTTCTCAGGAGGATCGTATCTAATTTCTTACAGTGGCAGCGGAGTCACTGAACTCAGGGGAATGCCTGTGTGTTTTTCTTTTTACAGCGTTTATGAACACCGACTGTAGAAAGTAAGTTAATGTGTCTGTTAGAGCTATAAGCTATAAGCGAAGTAAGTCAACGGTCCATTTGCTTTGGTTAATAATTAGATAGAGCGGTGTTCTGAATTTAACAACTTCTTTGAGGGTTATTTTTTTCGCAACTCCTCGGTTGTAAAGAATATTACTCAACTTTTTGGCACTGCTTTATCTGTCAACATGCCTTATAACTTTCCGGCGGCAACCTGTAACCCAGCCTTTGAAGTACAAGTCGTCGCTTTTCTGCGTTTTTTGTGGAATTATCCAGAAATATCTGCGCCCACAGGATGTGCTTTATCTTCTCACTCTGTTTGGAAACTCACACACTGTGATTGTAAGGTACAGTGACTCGTGTACACTGTAATATTAATAAGAGTTTGGATACAGATGAATATTGAAACAGTGTTCACAGGACCTGCCGTTCTTTGGGGAGAGGATACTACAGCTGAACTATAACGCAAACACGTTACAAAAGAGGACACTTGTTGTGTATGGTGAAGTTTAGGCTGCTGGACAACTACTGCACACTTCAAGCTCTAACACGACACAGCGTGTCTTCATGGTGCCTTTGAGCATGCAGTGTTTCGCCACCCACATTAATGACACTGGATAAAAGTTTCAAGCTCATTGTAACTCGGAAGATATTCTTTGTTCCATGTGGGTACTGCTTTCTATAACGTCTCGAGTTTGAATATTAACTCTGGTGCTGAATGGAAGTTTTAGGATTTTCACGCATGAGTTATGATGGCAGTCCTCCAGCTCTAAAAGTTTGGTTTGTATCTGTTTAGTCGTCGACGCGGAGAGAAGAAGTGGGGGACGTATAAATATATACACATATTTTCTCCGTTTGTCTACCCGCGGCGCTTGCCTGCTTTGAAGTCCACCATGTGCGGCCGGGCACCGCCGCTACAGCCGAGGCCATGACCGTCCCCCAGCGGCGCCTGGCCGGGCTCTGGCCGTGGCTGCTCATGGCGGCCCTGCAGGTGGTGCTGGGCCAACCGGGCCTGGAGTCCGAGCGGCAGGTCCAGCGAGCGGTCATCAAGGTGGCACTGCTGAACCAAGAGTCGACGGGGAAGCCCATCACTCTGCAAGGGGTGTTCGTGCGAGGAAGTGCCGGCAGAGCGGAGGGAAAACTAATGCAGGTAAGGTGTAATAAAGCAATCAATGTATTTCTACTTTCTGCCCACTCTCTCTCATCATGTACCCCCAAACATACTAAAAAAAGAGGGAATTCAGGGCTGCAGGATGGGCACCTGCTGTTCAGCCGGGGCCCCACCACTCTAGGCTCCCATGCAATAGTGCCCTGAAAGCTCTTAGGAATGTATGCCTTGCTTAATGACACTTAATTAGGTAGAGAAGGGAGAATATTAATTGACAGCCTTACCACTTGGAATCATTTCTGCTTTAATATACTTTTGCCTGTTGCTCTTATAATCCCT